TTTCCAGGTCTCGCGTTTGTTCATTTTTCACGACCACGATTTTCGTGCGGAAAATTGGCAAGAATCCTGCAACGTGTATCCCCGGCAACAACGATGTTCCGTATATTTTTTTGCCGAATTTTCGCATGCAATTAAACAGCGGAAATGAACTAAAAACCGATATTTGGATTTTTCCATGTAACCACCGCCCAACCCCTGCTTCCCCGCCCGGAGCTCCGGCGGTCGCTCGGAAACCGTTGCGCGAAATATTTTCCCTCGATAGGCACGATATCGAATGGTTTCATATTCGGCTCAAAATTTTCGTACGCTCTCGAATCTTTTTTTCCGAAAACCGCGAACCGCCCCCGGTTTCAGTTTACCAGGCACCACACCGATATGCATCCCGTCCCATCATCGTCAAGCCATCCATCTTGAAAGACGATAACCCGCGCGTTGCAGCCTCTGCTCCCGGTGTCTTATCACAAGGGCTATCCGGAGCTAATATTATTTCAACGGGACCCTTCAGCGTGTCCTGGAAGCCCGATAGGCTTCTAAAAGATTCCGCGACGGATCGCCAATCTTGCCTGACAACATTCAATTTCGTTACGCTCACGCTGTGGAACCTCTGTCGTTCGAACTAACCGTGGCAACGTGACCGTTCCGATGATAGAACAGCCGGTTTTATCGAAACTCACGCGAGACATGGTTCACCGAAAAGTATTCGACACGTATTTCTTTTTTATCGGCCGTTGTTAATGTCGGAATGGTGAAAACAGGTCTCAGAAATATGAACGTTTCTTCGAATATCTCGAATTCCGTGCTTTTACATTTTTTAATTCGGCGAGCTTTTACATTTTTTAATTCTGCGAGCTTCTATATTTTTAAATTCCGTATTTTCACGTTTTTACATTCCGCGTATCTTTGCATTTTTTAATTCTCTGCGTTTGTTAATGTTTTAATGCGTGGAACACGGTCGCGTAAACAAATTTCCGAAAAAGTTATTGGTTGCGTTATGCTGAAAAATTCAATACTTTTTCGTAATATTTATTATTTATCCTTCATTAATTTTAATGCAAACTCGTGTGGGTCTGTCTCGATGAAGGTTTTTCTGACCCCCAGCTTTGAGGGTTGTTTTCACTCTTTCAATATTGTCGCTGACGGATAGAAGAGCTGTGTGTCGAGTATTTTTCGGAAAACCATGTCTCGCGTAAGCTTCATTAGAATCGGGTTTAACTCCCTGGTTTTTGTAACATTTTTATAACAGTTAATCCGAGCTTGGAATAAAAATGAATCTAAGCCTAGAATAAAAATTAATCTGAGCATGAAATAAAAATTAATCTAAGCTTAGAATAAGAATGACTTCAAGCCTAGAATAATAATTAATCTGAACTTAAAATAAAAATGAATTTAAGCCTAGAATAAAAATTAATCTAAGCATAGAATACAAATCAATCTAAGCATAGAATACAAATTAATCTGAGCTTAAAATAAAAATGAATCTAAGCTTAGAATAAAAATGAATTTAAGCCTAGAACAAAAATTAATCTGAGCCTAGACTAAAAGTTAATCTAAGCCTGGAGTAAAAATGAATCTAAGCCTAGAATAAAAATTCATCTAAGCTTGGAATAAAAATTAAATAGTCCGGCATTTCTGTCCAGCTAGATTGGGTATCCGTCAAACTATAGCAAGTCGATCCATCATATTTCGAATCGCCGAAGGCAGGATTTCCATGGAATCGATCATCGGCATGCATTCGTGTGTGCACGAACTCGAAGCCTACGTTGCTCGGTCTGATACCGTTGTAATTGAATATTCTTCATCGGCAATCGTAAGTTCCTGGGCAGGCAGCACGCTCGAAGATTGCCCGGAGTTTCGGAGAGAGAGCGTCCTCGGGACGACTTCCGTTGCTCCGCGCGCTGGTCGAGCAACTTGTCAGGCAAGCGAATTGTCGTCGAGAGCGTTCCGTGTGTTTACCTTGCAATTAATGCGAGTCGCGCGAATCCTTGAGTAAATAGCAGGCGAGGCCGGAGGAGGCCCTTAGGGCGAGGCCGGCCAGACGGGAAACTCATCGGATCGCCTTGCAGTTCGGACGTGAAATTGGTTTGTCAACCGAGTGAACCCTTCGTGTGTGATCCTCTGGATTCTCGACATCTGGCCAGACGATCGTGAGACAATTCCGTGCGGGTCGTCGAGCACGTAAAACGCTTCGTAAGATTCCAAAGGAAGGGCCGAAAAAATGAGAGACAGACCTCCTGGACCCTGGACCTTCAGCGGTTTGGAACGCGGACAGCGGCTCTCGAATGTTTTTCGTCGCCGTTGGATCTGCGATCTGCGACTCGAGATCCTGGCCCAGTTGATTCCGGGCCCATTCTGACCCATGTCAATTTATTTCGGTCGCATTGTTTTGGAACATCAGCGATTTGCATTAATAGACATCTTTTTATGATAGCAGTTCCTTCAACGTTCTAAACGCGGCTGCCGATTTTTTTTCTGATCGTGTACACTGCAATCAGTGACTTGAGCACATGAGTCAATTGATTGTGGATTAATTTTCATGCAGGCTAATTTATTTAGATCGTTGTCACTTCTAACATGGTCGACTTGTGTTAGTAGACATTTTTGATGAAGTATTTCATGAAGTTCGCTGGCTGCCGATTCTTTTCTCTGGTTTACCAGCCTATGAATAATGACTTTAGCATCTGGTCCAGTTGATGCTGGGTCAATTCTGACCCATGGCAATTTATTTAGGTCGTCACGTGGCTTGGAACGCCGTCAGTTTGCATTGGAATTGATTTTCATAAAACAGTTCAGGAAGTTCAGTGGCTGTTGAACCTTTTCCTTGCACGCAGGAAAGTCAGTGTCCAAAGCACCCAGTCCAATGAATTGAGGGTGAATTCTGACCGAGCCTAACGTACTTGTGCCGTCAAATGTCTCGTAACATCGGCAGTTTACATTAGCGTCAATCTCGCCGAATAGGAAGTCGAACAAGTTGGACAAAGTAGCCTCGAGTTTCAATTTGCCGTGATTTCGACCCGGCCACTCTGCTATCCACTGAGCCACGCTTCACTAGTCCCCAAACCTGCCGCCCCAAGGATGTGTGTAGAGCATTGAAAGATGAGAGCACGCTCGATGGAGGAACCGGTGCTCCAGGGAAGGAGCGAGAGCAGTCTATAATCCATACGTTCGCGGGAAGTAAATAATACACGAGCTTTGGGGGTTCCGGAGGTTGGTCTGACCGGATGTTAACATCGGAGGATGATGCAGCCTCCCGTATATCCGAGGAATATATGAACCTCGGCTCCTCTCCTACATCGCCTCACCCCCTTGCTTCCCGCGATGATGACATTTCAGATTTTTACGGAGTTCCCGTTTCTTTGACTAGCTATTGTAGACTCCGTATCCTTTCTTCTCCGAGTGGCGGAGTATTTTGCGAGACACTTCAGCTGAGAGGACGCTTGTTGCGGAGCTGTTAGTATGGGAAGGGGTCTTCTTTTGGGGATAACGGGCTCTTGGCTTCAGGAGCAGCTTCTGGGATTTTACTGGACTAACTTGGGTCATCTAGATCTTGCTTAGGGTCTCTAGACTTAGCTTAGACTCCTTGAACACTGTTTGGACTTCCGAGGCCTAGGTTGGAGTACTAAGATCTAGCTTGGATTCTTCGGAGACTTAACTTCAGCTCGTTGGCGCTAGCTTGGACTATTAAAACTTAAATTGGACTCTTTAGACCAAATATAGACTTCCTAGACCTAGCTTGGACCTCTTAGACATGGATTGGGATCCTTAGACTTATCCTGGACTCCTACTACTCTTATCTTAGACTATTAGAACCTAGGTCGAACTCCTTAGACCTGGCTTGGACTATTAAAACCTTGCTTGGACTGCATAAACCTAGCTTAGACTATTAAAACCTAGCTGGGACTTTTTAGATAAAATTTAGACTTCTTAGAACTAGCTTGGACCCCTCAGGTATGGATTGCACTCCTTAGACTTAATTTGGGACAATTATAACCTACCTTGGACTATTATAACCTACCTCGGACTATTAAAATCTGCATTGCACTCCTCAGATCTAGCTTCGGCTTCTCAGACCTGGCCAGGACACCCTAGACCAAGTTCGTGATCCTCAGAGCTAACTGAAACCCGTCGAATCCAACTTCGACTTCCATCATTTAGTCCCTTCGACAAGAACTTCTTAGTCAGCTTTGGATCAAGCCTCGAGTAGCTAAAAGTATCTTCTGCTTCCTTCTCTACCACCATCTATCTACATCGCAGGGATAGTTAAAGCTTACGGGGCCAGCAGACATCCGCTTAGCGCAGCGTTTAAAAATTAATAAATTCAAAATACCTCTGAGATAAGAATAGCTACGAGGAGGGCGGCCGCTCGTCAGTCAGGCAAATACTAGCGCAGAATTTTGAGCCGACGTAAACACACCTCAAAGAGAACGTGCTTTCCCTTCTGGCTCCTTTCGGTGATCCGCCGGGCTTTCTTTTCTTACGTAAACGCAAGGAGATCGGGACATGATCCTGCGGGACTCTTTGATCTGGCATTCTGTCTCTCCGGCGGATGACGTGGCTACCATTTTCCCCGTGTGCCGGGGGTTATGAATTATCCTCCCCCGTATTTTCCTCGCTGAAAGGTCGAACTGGTGAGCCTCCGTTCAGACAAATTGAACGACACGGCGAGATAATACGCAAGCAGCGCCGTGGGGTAGGATTCTTCTGTTAAATTGTCCTGGTTTCTTAGGGTAAATTGAGAGCATCCTTCGCAGTCTCCGGTATTTTTCTCCCTCGTTTCTCGCGAGTGCCGGATGCCGGGGATTGGATTGTAGCACGAGTCGAATCGGGATCTCTTTTCTGCTGTTGCTGTTGTCTTCGGAAGTCCAGGACTCCGAGCTAAACCTTAGAACTGCGATCGAATGAACTGTGTGCAAAAATTCAGCGAATTCCGCCGCGTGTATTTTGTTACGGTTGTTCGACGTTGCATCGTGCGTACTAATTTTTCGTTTTTTCTTCTGTTACAGAGGGGTAGCGACGAGCTTCTGTCGCAGAGCGGAACAGTTAGCAATGGTGCTGCAATGAGTCCTCAACCACATCACGCGGCCGACAACAACAATGACGCCAAGAAGGTGAGTCGCACATTGGGCAAACCAAATCGACACCGTTTTTATAATTCATCGACGTACTCCAAATTTGCTGCTCCGTTTCGGACCTCGCTCGATAATTCCTGAATCGATGATAACATTGTCCGTAAGAGCAGTTTGATTCGATAATCGAACGATCGGAAACAGCTAAAAGCACTACAAATTGAAACCTCTGTAGAACCGGTGAACATTTTTTTTGGTGATCGAATGTGACGTGAATTTGATGACCGAAGCTGCCTCTTTAAAATGACATATCAAGTTTTGAGATGCGATTATTTTTCTAGTCGTTTTATGAAACAGAAATCGCCTGGCCGCCTGAAGCATACTTTTATGGGATTTTAAGGATGGCAGTATAGTATTCGTTTGAAGCGCGATAAAATGGCAATAAAAAATCGTAGATCGGAATTTTTGGACTCGTTGGAAAGCTCATACTTCGTTCTACAAGACTGTGTAAGTCTTATGCGTTTAAAAAATTTTTCTACCTCGGTGCACGCATCTAAATTTGAAATTTTTTTTTAAATGACCATGTTTGCTATTGTTCTCGTTCTTTGTGGCAACAATTTTTTTCCAGTAAAGATACAAACGAGTTTTCAAAGCTAAAACTTTACTCTTTAAAATGAGGCAAGATGCATCTTTTTACGATTTTTTGTCGCGAAGTTACAACAATTCAAAGATGTACCTTTTTTTACTCGAGACTTACCGAGTCATATTCCATTGCTGGCGGTACACTTTTCATTCGAAGTCCGATAAAATGGCAACAAAAAATCGCAGATTAAATTTTTCGGTACCGTTGGAAAGAGGAGACTTCAATCTCCGAAACCAATTTAGCTTCATTCCGGGAAAAAAGTTTTCGAATCAGGTGGACACGTTTGGATTTGATAAATCTTCAAAAGCGACGATCTTCATTTTCTCATCCACATCTTAGCGAAACAATTTTTCCGAAAAAAGAAAAAAAAGAAAACAACTTTCCCTCTAAGAAAGTGGTCACCTTCGGCCGCTAGATTTACGATTCCTTTTTACGATTCAACAATAGGTAGAACGCCAGCGACTGGTCGTCGAGCATACTCGGAGAAGCGGTATCCCAGATTCCCGGCAAATTTTCGTGAAAAACAGGACGCTGCATTCCAGCGAGCTGGATTTGTATTTCAAAGTCGTCGTCGATGATAATCCAGCCGGCCGATAACGCAGTTAGCTTTATTGAAATCGGAGCACGGGGGGTCCTTTTGTCCCCACGTGTCATATTATTTTCCCGAGCGGTGCCGCCCGTTGTCGGCGACTCGTCTTTTTTCCGTCGCTCCCCCATTTTTCATGACGATGAACAGTCGGCAACGAAAACCCGTGGCCGAACAATAAGCTCGGCCGAGAGATCCGGATGTGTTGACCCGGCCTGAAGTGCGTCCATTGAAACCGGACCGGTCTGTTTTGTGCCCGGGCTGCGTCGGGGCCGGGGCCGCTACTGGACCTCTCTAGCCGCGCTCTGACCTACTCGATCTTCCGCGATCGCCGAAAAAAACCGGTCAAACGATCAAAGCGTTGTCCGGGGCCCTCCTGAAAAGTGATTCGATCGCCGGCGACCGTGTGCACACACCGCCTCGCCGTTCCTCCGTGCTTCCTGCACGCCCGTTAATTGGCCGGCTCTCGTTGCGACGACTGTGCCGCGGATAATCGATCCTCCGCTCCGCCCCGAACGGCAGTCAAGCTTTCATCTGTCCGTCTAATGGTTTCGCGCGAATAAAACCGAATCCAAACGGCCGAATTTTCTCCCTAAATCACTTCCTTTGACTCCGCGGACTTTTTAATCACCCCACACTGCTGATCGATCCGCGCGGAATCCTTGATACGCCCACGAATATTTCGAAGAAACGTGTCCCACCGTTTCGGCAAGTCGTTCAACCGTTCGTCCGATTTGCTCTCGAATTTCTCTCTGGTCATGTATCTTTGTAATCAGTGACCCTGGCACCTGGCCCAATTAACCACGAGACAGCTCCGAACCACGTCAATTTATTCTGCTGCTACTTAGACATCTTAGACTGCTCAGACCACGCTACATCCTCGAAGAAGCGTCCAGGATGCTCCAGCAAGCCGGTAAAACATTTTCGTAGCTTCGCGTGGCTCTAGGTAGAACGTCATTTTCTATCCCGTAAACAGGCGAGAGAGCATTTATCATTTTCTAAAAATATAACCGAAGAAGGCTCGTGAAAAATTCCTTGCAAGGGCGTCCCTCCTCTTTTAAACCGGCCCGGTCTCCGTGCAGATATTTTGGTCCGATGGCCCGTAGTAATTAATGACGGTCCGTCGCAGCCGCCGCCGCCGAGATTAATCTTTTAAACACCTGTTGTTCATCAAGAATAAAGAGTCCTGACAGGAATATGGTAGAAGGTTGGAGACCGCGCGCTCCGAGGAATATTAATTAGCCGGCTCTCGGGACCTGTCGGCATGTGGAGCGCCACGGCGAGCCACGTGGACAGTGCCGGCAAAAAATCGCGCGTCCGTTCGAGAGGCTTCCGGCCAGATATTTCGCAGATCCTTGTTTCCGTGCCGGTCGTTTCGCGGACAAATGCGCCCGCGTCCGTCTCGCAAAACGGACTTCGTCGTCAGTCAGCCGCGCTCTCGCGCGACGTACCGGGATTTGTGCGACGTCGCATGCGAAATATTTATTATTGTCAGTCACGGCGTCACGTGGCCGTTCGTCGATGGAAGGGACCGATTACGGAAAAAATGCCGGAACTTTCGGCGGGGCCCGCGATAGACGCAGCTGTGCGTTCTGTAAGCCGTGTGGATGCACTCCGGCAGCGATCGCCCCGGTGCACCGGGTGCATCAGAACTCGTAGCCGGCCTCGTTAATCATCTCCCTGGCTAGATGGAAAAAAGAATGGGACTCGTAAGTCGCCCGGTGTGGTCGGATCCTCGATTTTTCCTAGCAACGTGTGTCCCTCGCTGCACCGGCATGCAAAATTTATTTATCAACGTGCTTCGTTCAGCTTTTATTCGGCCACTGTATTTTGGAAACCTTTTGGTTCAAAATAAATGTCTCTCTATTCTAAATATTATTATGCTGTTGGTTTGTAAGCGGCACTGCCTAGATTTGAGGAAGCCACGCCTAGCTCCAACCCCGCCCACTGTTGGCTCCGCCTACAATGTGGTGGGGATAGTGATTGATATAAATGCAAATTTCTTGATTGACTGAAAACTTTGTTCTTAAGTGGGCAAACATAAGTACAGCCCTTCGTCGGATACGCCTACTTTTAGCACCGCCTATTATTACCGCCTACTTTAAACTCCGCCTAGAAAATATAGGAGATAGTGTCTATAGTCAATCTAGATCGTTAGATATCATATTGTGAACACTTGATTGACCATTGGTTTGATTTTGACTCACATGATACAGATGCAGACCACGCCTATTTTATCCCTGGCTAGTATCGTTGGCTCCGCCTATTAATAACTCCACCTAATTTATGACTCCGCCTATATTAATAGCTCCACCTACTAGTATCTTCGTCTATGAATGGCTCCGCCCACTTCTACATCTGCTTACGAATAACTCCACTTACTTTGTCTCACCGCCTATTAATAGTTCCACCTACTAGTATCTTCGCCCGTGAATAGCACCGCCCACTTATATTTCTGTTTAAGAATAGCTCCACCTACTTTTTCTTCCGCCTACTTTTGCTCCGCCCACAAAAAAATGACGGAATCACCGTCAGTTTCCCGTCGTTCGAAAAATTCAGTGAACGTCTGTATATTATTTGTTGGAAACGAGGGAGAGCCCGAGTGTCCGTGGCCCCTTTTACATCGCATTGCACTCGAGGCAGACGCGAGAGCATTGAAAATGAATTACAAAGGGTCCAAAATGTCGCCGGGAAGACAATGCTCGACGGAATACGGAGCTCTCCGACCCGCCGAGCGAAATTTCGCAGTTTCTGGCAACGAAACTAACGATTTTGCACGGGTTCTTCGCGACCTAATGTCACCGGCGGGCGGGTCTGAACGCGTCTCAAATTTCAGACCCGCGAGGCCGCTAACGATATTGCGCTTTTTTTTTCCCGCGGTCCGTCGGAAAGTGGAGCGTGTACGTTTTCAAAGTAAAGGCTGAGAACGCTGGGAGACGGCTTTGTTACCGAATCCCCCGTCCGTTCGTCCGCCGTTCCTCCAACGCGCGCGCGCGCCTGCGTTTTCCCTCGCTCTCTGCTACATTAACAAATCCGCGACCATTCCGTACATTACGGGACACTTTGTCGCACGTCGACAATGTATTTTCAATTTTTCGTTTAGCACAGCCATGGCAGAGGGCTTTGCGAGGTTTCCCAACGAATGTTAAACCGTTGAAGAGCCGGCTAAGAAAAAACCCATTGTGCAAAATTTCAACCGAGTAGTTCGTCCCGCGAATGTTACAGAATTTTGTCAGACTTTTCCGTTGCGCGGCGTGCTTTGCTGAAAAGGAAATACGAAAAATCGAGGAAACGCAGTTTCTTCAAACACGAATACTCGGTTACATCTTTTTTTCTTCTACTTCGACGCACCTTTTTTCAAAAATCTGAACAAAATCGACAACTCCGTTCGCGGCAGTACCTTATCAGAGAATTAAACTGCCAGAGGCAATATTCTTAGTTCTCGTGAAATCCGCGTTTCTTCGCGTCTTGGCTTTTCATTGGTCGCAAGCGCAGCTTGCGTCCGAAAAATCTGCAAAAATTCTCTGACATGCGGCTCGCGATCCGAAATACGCCACAATTTTCCTGAAATTCCAAGAACCCGGAGAATACGGAAAATGGCCGGAAAAACGCGCGATTTAAATTACCCTGTAACTACGTAACGAAGTGTTTCTCGGCTATGGAACGGTAAATTAATATTCTTGGTGATTTTTACTTTTTTTTTACCCGTGATTTTTCCGAGGCAAGAGCGTGTGCACGAAAATCGACGAGGCCGTCGAAAGCGGCCGCGTATTCCCGGTAGCAGAAGCGAGGGAAAGTGTTTCTCGCCTTTTC